AGTCAAAGTGATCTTTCACGTCCCGCCAAATTAGTGCGATCCAATAAATATAACGAGTCGATATGATCTATCACATCCCTCCAAGTCGAAGTGGTTTGTCACATCCTGCATATTCAAAGTGGCCTATCACATCCTGCAAGGTCGAGTAGTCCGTGAAGTCTTGCAAAGTCAAAGTGTTAGTCACCCCCTGTGAGGTCAAAATGGTCTCTAATACCTTACAAAATTAGTGGTCGGTCATATCTTGTCGAATGGTCGGTTATCATTCAAATTTTACAATTATCTTTTTTCATATCTATGTTTGCTAGTAGTTTGCACCGTATGTTCTCGTTTCAATTTTTGTTTCTTTACAAAGCTTTCTATACAAAGTCAAAGAATAAACTTTCAATGACTTTGTAATGAAAACATTGTAAAGAAAAGACGATTGTTAGCACTCAATTTTTACTCCCATTTTACGTCTTTATTTTTTTATTATTACAAAAATGATAAAATCAAAACAAAACCAAAAAAAAAAAAATCAAAACAATCAAAATAATTAGATCATATTAATTTTAGGATGAGGGGAAGGCTAATTAACATAATAATAATAAATTTTGGACATAAACTCGATCAAAGCAAAAAAAATAAAAAATAATAATAATAAGCCTTAAATAAAAAAAAAAAAAAGGATGTAATTGGAGGGAAAATTTTAGGAAAGGACTTGGTTAATCATAATTTGGATACCATTAAATTTCAAATAACTCAAATTATGCTCAATCCGACAAATTAGGTGAAATTGAGGACCGGAATAGATTTTTACCCTAAAAACCCTAACTCTTACATATAAAATCTAACTTTTCTCTCCATTAAAAAAAGAAAAAAGAAAAAAAGAAAAACACTCAACCTCTCTCAAATTTCTAGTACAAATTAGGTGAAATTGAGGACCGGAATAGATTTTTACCCTAAAAACCCTAACTCTTACATATAAAAGCTAACTTTTCTCTCCATTAAAAAAAGAAAAAAGTAAAAAAGAAAAACACTCAACCTCTCTCAAATTTCTAGCAACTTGATCTCCATTCTTTAGCTGGTTGTGCAAGTTTTCCTACCTAAAATCCTTCGAACCCCTCCCCCCCCCCCGACTTTTCCATCACTCAAGCCATCTTCCTCCATAAAAAAAACCACAATCACCCTCTCCTCTCATCAAACCAAGTACCACAACACTCTCCATCTTGTCCAACCACCCTCTTCCACCTAAAAAAACCTAAAAAGAAAACACCGCAAAAAAAAAACCACACATAAAAAAATACTAAAAATTGAAAAAGAGCAACCAAACACGCCCTAACTCGAATACCAAACCCCGTTTACTTGGTTTGCCTAGCCAAATATTTCTCCCTCAAATCGACCACTTTTCGGTCGGTTTTGACCCCAATCACCATCACCCCACGTGTAGCTTGTCACTAGATCGGCCTATCCCCACCGATTAGAGGAGGAAATGATGATGGAGGAGAGAGAAATCCAAGCTTAAACTATTACAACTCGACTCGTTAAAAGACCCATTTGTATCTCCTAATTCGATCGAATTTTTAAGCTCCACCACCACGGACTTAGCCTTCCGGCTCCTCTTAGCATTTCCTTTTTGAATTATCAACCTAACTTCATCAAAAAATAGTCTAATTAAAAAATACATGTTTCTAACCCGTTTAGAAGAACCTAAAAAAAATGGCCGATCTAGAACGAATGCGAAGTTCTAACCACTATAGAAATCTTCCTCATGGTCCCATGAGTTACTCGGTATCCTTTAAACCCAAAAACGTGACCGAAGCATCATCGGTAAGAAAGGAAAATCCGACCAAAACTTTGGAGTCTCCGATCTGCCTTCTCAGACGTCGTTATAGACATCCACCACCACTATTGAACTCGCAGACAACCTCCTCTACAACCTTTGGATGGTCCACGCACTCGAAGGGCCTTTGAAAGATGAACGATCACTTGGTAGTCGACTTTTAACATTTCAAAGGCATTTTTGTAATTTTGTAGTACAAAGGTAGTTTGGTCATTCCACTTTCGGAGGCATTGTTGGTCATTTCACTACTAACTAGTAGCATTCTAGTCATCGTATAGCAAATTGTTGACGTTCATAATAGTTATTTCTTCCTTTTTAGTCGATCGAAACAACCGGTCTTCATCGAGATTGAAGGAAATAAAATGATTCGAAATAGGACATCTCGATGCTTGGGTAACCTCTAAATTCATATGGGTTGTATTGAAATAATTGTGAATATGTTGCATTGTGAATGGTTGTGGTTATTGTATGTCATCTATTTCATTTAAATAAAGTCGTCAACGGCTTCCCACTGTGTGAGGAAGGTCGTCAATGGTTTTGAAAATTAATTTATTTATTATATATTTGTTTGAAATGTGTTTGTTCTATTTAAATGAAGCTATCGGTGGCCTTCCGGTAGTGTGAAGAAGACGCTAACGAGTCTCGAACTTACTTCGTTTATTGCATGCTTGCTTGGAACGAAACCGTCGAAGGCTTCCCACTTGCATGATAAAGTTGTCGATGGCTTCGAATTAATCATTTGCTCCTCGCTTGAGTTGACATGACGTTATCGGTGGCTTTCCATTTACGTGATAAAGTTGTCGGTAACTTCTTAAGTCCATGACTCGAAGTTGTTGGTGGCTTCCCATTTATGTGAGTGAAGTTACTTGGTGACTTCGTTGCTCATGTCAATAAAAGACTATTCATTTTTAGAAACTCACCTACTTGGTTGATAGTAGGTCCTATTTACTAATGACTAACCAAAATTCCAACTTCCCCCACCATTCCTCTTTAGGTAGGGGGCATTATCTTAGATCGACATGAACTCTCAAACTACTCGTTTTACATCCGAATTATTATGTTTCATATTTTTATAAAATAAATTTATTTAAATTGACATAAAATACGAAGCACAACTACTCGGTTTATAACTTATATGGTTATGTACATGTGTCAAACATCAATCTCTCATCCCGGTATTCCTTGCGAATTGCTATCATTTTATTATTAAACGAGTTGTTGTGCCCCGTGTTATGGGTTTTTTTCTTTTTTCTCGGTTGACGAGTGATTGCATTACAAACTATTCAATAATACATTTATTTGATTAATTTTAGATATTATGACTAAATAAAATATAATGATATGAGTTGGTCATTTGGTAATATTCAAACTAAAATACCCTCCATTAGGGAAAAAAAAATTGATTATGTAATAATAACTTCATTTTTAGAAAAATTAGTACTTTCAATTTTCCAAACATAACTACTTATTTTATTTAGGAAACGATATATATATATATATATATATGTGGTTTGAAAGGAATATGAATTGATTGTTGGAAATATTAGAAGGCATTAAAAGAAAAAATAAAATCGAATGTGATAATTAAAAATATCAATAGAATAATGTAATGGATTCATCTTTCATAGCGTATAATCACTGTCCTTAAGAGTAAACTGCGTCCCTTGAAGAAAATTTGTTCGTGCAACAAGTTAAAAGCGAATTACCCTTCAAGACATAACAATGGATTATATATAGCCATGCACTCTCAATGCATAGCCAAGCGTAAATGATCAATCCCGCTTTTCGAAAGATAATTTTGTATGAATTTTTTTTAAAAAAAATGCTATTACTTGAGGAAGAATATTATCATTTTATTTTTCTTCTCGTGCCAAATGTTGAAAAATTTGTATGCTTATATAAGGTGAGAGTGAATAACAAATTAATTATTAAACTATAATTAAAATTTTTAATAACTTACAACAGCTAATAACAATCATATATTGACTATTAATGGCTCTAGTAAATCAAAATACGAATTAAGATTATTTAATAATATAATGATTAATTGTAGTAATATTATTGTATCTGTTCTTCAATTTAATAGCTTAAAAAAGTTTTGTTTGAATTTTTTAAAACAAATTACTATTTGTTAAAAAAAAAAAAAAAAACATCATTTTATTCCTTTTCTCATACCTAATATTCAAGAATATTTATGTTTATACAGAGAGAATAAATAACTAATTAATTATTAAACTATAATTTTATTTTTTTAATAAACTCAGAACAACTACTAATAATCATATAACGGATAGTAACAATTATAATAATCAATAATAATAATTAATTATATCACATTTTTTCATTTAATAACAAAACCAATATTAAAATCCAATCATAATTATATCTGACATGATTGAGAAAAAAAAAAAAAAAAGAGGAAAGAAACTCAGTCATCATGACATATGTCAAGAATTATAGGGATCTTGTCTCACTGCATCTCACATGTTAAAGATTAAATACATCACATTTCACTAGAGACATCACATCTCGCAAATATTTGTTTTACTATTATTGTATAGATAGATATAGATAAATAGATCCACATCTTCAAATTATGATACACAGCATCAAATGCTAAGAGCATAATAATAATATCTCCAATGATAGCTTATCATGTTAGTAAAATAACATTGATACAGTAAATGTATTAACAAAGTAATAGCTAATCATAAATTTGCTTTAATTCATATACTAATTAAGCATAATAATATTTTTAATACTTTAATATCATACAACAATAATTGAACTTATTAAAAACAAAAAAAAAAAACACTTTTAATAGTTTAATATCACAAGCCGCAAAATGAATCTAGCAGCTCACTTGATATTCAATGCAAAACGTATAAGCAAAGGGAAAATCTATTTTTTAAAACATGGTAACAGCACGTTCAAAAGATAAGAAAGGGAAATTCAATTAATTTGGAAAAGAATGATGCAATTGGCAGGTGAGGGTAACCTATCTACGTTCTATAACTATCTCAAACGAACATAAATTGGTAACAAAAAATAGTGCAGAAACGCAATTCCTTGGCTTGCTGGTAGCTGGATGACCCATGTGTCATATTCTGTGCGATTTGGCTATGAAAGGTAGACTTCCTGACATAATCATCTCTTGCTATAATCCAAAAACACTTGTTCTCTACGAGGAGGTGTTATTGTTTTCGCCTGCAACCCAATATTGTTTGACAGCAAACAGCACCTTTTCTGATACAAGTGGCCCATCCTCATGATCCACCATTTTTGTATTCCATCTCATTCCTCCCACAACTCTCCTGACCTTGATAAGCATATCAACTTGATCACGGAATATGACTGCTCCTTCTGGCCTTAAAATACGATCCATCTCCAGAAGAATGTCTTCGATATTGCACCTGCAACGGTTTCAACCAAATTAAATGCAAAGATTCACAAAGTACTACTATTCGAAGGATCACATTCGACATGCTAAATCAAGAAATACTAAAAGAAAGTGGGGTGAACACTATTCATTTCAACAGTAACTCCCTAGCCTTGGCAAAACATTGTCCTTTTGCTGAAATTTTTTTTTTTTTTTAGTTAAATGGCACTCATGTGATTTTCAGTTAAGTGGCAATTTGGTAATTTTGAGCATAAAGGAAAACAAGAGAGAGATTGTTCAGAATGCTTGATCTTTGTTTCAAAGAACAAACTGCCTGTATAAGGAGAGCTTGCCCTAGATTTTCAAGCCAAGAGTACAGGCCTAGTACACATGGACCTAGTTCTTTTGGTTATTTATTGACACGAGAGCGCTAGCAACACTCTCTCTAACACTCTTTTTCAAACACTTCCTCAATAAAAATGTCCACATCAAATAATAACAAACAGAAGATAATTGATGCTCCATATTCTCAAAAAGTTTTTAAATTATAATCAATCTTATATTATCTAAAAGACAGAAATACCTTTTGTTTATTTATTTACTTTTAAAATTATATGAAAAGATTTAACGTAGACATTTTTTAATTAAGTGTTTAAATGAGTGTTAGAGAGTATTGCTAGCACTCCTCATATTGATATTGTTATTATTGTCTTGATTTCCCCTCAAAATTATAGTTTTGAGGAAAAAAAAAAATTTACTTTCCCTTTTGAAGATATAACTTTTTAAAAATAAAGTATGATACAGTTTTACATTTTAAAACAAATCCTAGAAATTTTGTTCATTTTTTCCCCACCTATTTATGAAATACTAAACATATGCTACTAGAATCATGCAAAAAATATATATATATATGAATTAAATTTTTATTTCAGTTTACATTAATATTTATAATATAAGGAGAACACAAATGAATACCATGATTACAGGTAATGTAAGACTTGTTAATACTTTAAAGATTTACTAATTGTTAAGCTAAAAAACCTAATGTGTATAATTTAAAGTTATTTGGTACTTATAAGTACCTATAATAATTTAAAGAAGCATAGTAACAAACAGTTTATCAGTGTAATAAAAGAGATAAACTGTTTTTTTTTTTTTTAACTCCTAAAATATTAGAAAAAATGAAGATAAGATTAATGTTTTGTGATTTTTTGCAGTGTAAACGGCTAGCCAAGTAGATTTCTTTTCTTTTGCACTCATAAAACTCTTATGCCAAGTTGGAAAAATTACTTGGATATAAAAATTTAGCAATTTATAGTTTATTTATTAGATTTAATTGAGTTAGAAAAATCGTTGTTGTCAAAATAATAGCAAAGCATGAAAGGATAAACTGCAAAAATAATATTTCTAAGGTATCTTCGTGTGTAGGGTTGTCTACATAACCTACAAAGCAGCCGAATAAAATAGATTTAAAATTTTAACTTAAAACTATTTAGTGTTTGTAAAATATACGGAACATTTTAGTGTATCAAGAAAACCTATGGAAAAAAGTTTCAGATCAATTCCTAAAAATAAAATAAAATACGTAAGTAATTAGTTAAATAATTATTGACATTTTGCTTTCTGTTTATTTCTTTTCCCATGTTTTGCAACAAAAAATATATTTTTGAACATTACCTGTTAGTTGCTTTTAGCTCTTATTAGAATTAATTAAAGAATCTATGAAGTATTTCATAAAGGAACCAAGGGCAATGTGTGAATCCACTTGCTAGTTAGATTTTGGGGAACGCTAGGCAATAGTTAAATATAAACAAATAGATAATTGATTTAAACCCTAACTCGCTCCCAGTCAAATTGCATATCCTAACCTAAAATGAATTTGTGTGTCTACTTTTGATCTCAAGAGCACAAGGCATTTCCCCAAATCATAAAGCTCTATTCTATTAAAATAGAATAAAAGACAGATAAACCAAGACTTACTTGTCTTTATACAAGCTGAAAACACCATTTGCATGAATAAGATCATATGTCCTTGGGTATGTGGAGAACCCTTCACACCTGATAAGATAAAATAAAATAACACAAAACAGTAATTAGCGTGATGCCCTTATTGCTTTCTTCTTGTATTCATAAAAGAAAACTGACAAGTTAAATTGCAAATAAAACAATAAAACTGGAATAAAATTAAACCTTCCTCGAACTGCAGTATCATTACTCAGCCAAATTTTATGTATCTGATAACAGAACACAAAGGTGGCAGGCTTTCTAGCCACAGTTAGAGCATAGCCAAAATTGGTCACTAAAACTACACCTATCTAGATCCATCTACCCCATTATCAAAACTTGATTTTCTTGCTTATCAGGAAGAACAAAAGATGCATTAGGTTCTCATTCTTCCAAAATATCAAAATATGCTACAAAATTGCTCACTAGTACAATTTCTTTGGTTTTCAATTTCCGTTTCTCATTTCCCCAAGTCTTTTCAAGGCCCAGAAGAAACTCATCTCATAAGTAAAAGCACGAATGACATAAGGGAATTTTTTTATTGAACAAATAGTGCACTGTATGCATTGGAAAATGTCTTTAAAATGCCCACATTTGACTAATAACATCTCATATTAACTTAGCTTCAAATTGGTTATGTCCTAGACACCATGCCAAGTTAAGCTTCAAACCTCCAATAAAAGTGAGTTTAGAGGATTCTAAGTCTAAAAACAATAAAAACTTTTTGCTTTAAGAAGACATATTTATGGGAGAAAAAGATTTGGATGTTTTCCTACCACCCAAGACTCATGACCACTCTGTATAAGAACTCATTGCACCAGATTTGGATCCTTTCGTGTGTCTCATGGCCTGTCATGTTCCAGGTCTCACTAATAGTTTTGAATTCAATGATTTGGATCAGGTGAGAAATAAAATAAGGAATTAAGTTGTTTTCATTTTTATCATGTACTAAATCATGACTGCTAAATTTGAATTCAATAATTTAGATCTAATGAGCATGAAGATCATGTTTCCTTATGAAAATGAGAAGATCCAAATACCATTGCACCATAGTAGTGCTCTGGATTGGATCAAATCTAGGAAATAAGTACAACCATAAAGTTGAAACCTAAAACACTGGTGTAGTTAGCACCAGACTGTAGGGACAGAAGTTTGAAGCCTAAAAGAAATGATATTGTAAAATGATGACGAAAGAGTAGCCAAGATCAACAGAAAGTTACGGCTGTTTCAATCTGCATTACTTAGTAGTAGAAATCTGATCCAACAAAATAATGTGAGTAGAGAAATGAAAAGAAACAAAAAAGTGTGTTTTTCAAAACTTACCAATCATGATATATGCCAATCAACCCACGCTCAAATATAACACCTAGAGTGTCTTTATCAGCTATTGTAGGCATAACATTCATAACCCACAATTTATGAGATTCAAGAGCTGCAGCAAAACCTCCCATGCCAGCATTCATGTCCATAATGTTGCGATACCTCCCTGAGTCAATGATTTTGTTTATCCTCTTATAAGCATTGACATGCTTCTTCCATATCCGGTTGTCCTCCAGGAATGTCTCAACAGACACTCCAGGAATGGAGCCACTGGAAATTCTGGAAGGAACAGCATTAAGTCTCTCAGAAAATGGCTGCCATGCGGCACTAGTGACTTCACCGGTCTCAGGATAAGGAGTTACACATGCCTCCATTTTCTTGTACCTATGCACAATAAGTAGAGATAATGTAAAACATGGAACAGAATTGTTTCTACCTCAAACAAATAACGTTAAAAATTTCTCATGCAGAGTATTTTGAAATATGCAAACTTCTGAAATCTTTCATTATGGAAACACACATCCTCGTTGCAGTCTGCAACTTAAGTTCAGTTAACACTGTAGGCATAATTTCAGTCATAAATGTTGCAACAGACGGCAATCCGCTCAAACAGGACCAAAAAATTAAATAAATAAACCAATAGACCAGCATAAGGAACAGCAATCACATGGATCTGCTGTATCATATATGTTTCTATGTTGTTCTTATTGGAAATAATGAGCATAAATGCCAAAATATATATACTGTTTGTTGTATTTGATTTTTTCCAGTAAAGTTAAGAAGCTTCTTCTTGCAAAATGTTTTCCAAAATATATATTAAACATATATGCTTAGAGTTACTAAATGGTCACCAAAACCTACCAGACATCATCTGGATTTGTTGATTTACACATAGTTGGTTTAGTATCTTGCTCAAGGCAAAAATCATTACTGATTCTTTTCTGCCAAATAGCAATTTCACCGATCTCATGTTTCTTTTCCCAGCAGAGAAGTTTGGCAACCTCTTCAATCTTCCTCTGTTCTTCCTCGAGTTCCTCTTTAGGACGCTGCCATGCTTGGTAATTGTTCTTCCAATTGATGGGGGGACCAGAAAGCACCCAATAACCACCAGGTCTGAGAACACGATCAATTTCCATCATGTACATTCCATCTGAACAAAGAAGTCCAGACTTGATGCTATCAATGACTTGCATTGCAAATATCCAGCCAAACAACATTCAAATATAATGAAGAAGTTGCATGTCACTTGTCATCTCACATTTTATTATAGCCTGATAGGATACTGTTTGAATTATCCAAGGCCCACTGAACTTAAATAAACATTCTGTTGTTAAATTCCAGGATGTGCAGATTTTTCAAGTCATTGTTAACAGGGCAAACGTGTTTCAACTGGTTCATGCTTCTATATGGTAATTGGCATACGTACAAAAAGAAGAATCAACAGCATGATATTACTCTATAGCAATTGTCAGCCATGCCTTTCATAAGAATATATTGCAGTTTACACATCAAAAGCCTAGGTAAATTACTCTCACCATTAGCACCCCAGGGAATCAAGCAACGAGAACAATGGGCCATGTCAAAGGCTCTAGATGGATATGGAAGCTTGATAGTTCCAAGAACGCCGATAACAGCAGGAACACCTCTTTCCAATGCAAATTGAATTTGTGATTCATGAGAGTCCCTTGGGGCAAATGACATGGCTATAACATTCTTTTTGAAAAGGTATGCACCCCAACTTGCAACCTAAGCACGGGCAAAAGCAATTAACCAAATGAAATGAAAAAGAAGATTAAATACCAAACACTCCATGCTGCAGACTAAACAAACATAAGATCATTAAGAAAATGAGTCACTGACATCGGCAAGAGAGAACATAAGAGGAAAATAAGGACAACTGGTATAATTTAACTTACCCCGCATCCAGTATCTAATGCAGTTCTAACAATTCCATTATCCATGGGGATAACAGAAGCGAGTTCATTAATATAGGCATCTGCCCCATGAGGAAACTGTGTTCCTCCACCAGGGAACCTAAACACATTGCCCTCATACTGTATCCAGTTCTGAACAGCTTTCTCAACGGTCAAGCTCTTATAAGGCGCATTAACAAAGGGTACATAGTCGCGACTCTTGGGCCAAGGAAACGGGTTTGCATATCCTTTGGGTGCTGGAATAAGGCAATGAAGCTTCTCGTGTTCAGGAGGACAATGGCGTTCCCTATAGATCATATTATCTCGGGGAAACGTCATTGCTCTCATTTGATCTTGGCAGGGCGTATAATCGATGTACTTGTCTTCACAGGGCTTAAATTCCTTGACTTGTGGTCCATCATTCATGCCGGCATCACCACTTGTCTGATAATTAAGATTGTTGAGGACGCTACAGTCTGTATGTTTAGAGATCTCTAAAGCTATGTTATCACCCTTCCCAAAGCCACTTCGCTGCCAAGCACCCACGATGTAGAAGAAACAGCATAAACCAGCAATCACAAAGATGGACAACGAACTGGTACTAGTTCTGCGGTCTCCTGAATTCCCTTTTGTTGCCATAACGCACGCACCTGAGATATGAAATGTTGGGATAAAAATAAAAATACTACTGCTTCTGCGCTTCTGTTCTGATGGCAAACCGATAATTATGACAAGACTTGTTCAATGCTGGAAAAAGTCAATCTTAATTATTACAAGTACGTAAATGATAAAACAAAATCCAAAGAACACGGTTTCTTCATCTCAATGATCAAATCAAAAGCAAAAGACAGATTCAAAATTGAACAAAATTCTTACAGTGAGTCAAAAGAAATTGCGGACGTCGTGGAATCAGTCGCACCAATCAGAAGAAAAACACCACTGACATTTTGATTTCAAGAAATTTGTTAAGAGTGAGAGATGCAGAACAGAAGAAACAGAGAGTTTTTGACTTTCGATTGTGCGAGGAGATACATACACATGTCATCTTCTATCTATGATTAGGAATGCAAGCGTGGATGGAGGAGGAGAGCGACGCGAGGATCTCTCTTCTCTTCGTTAGTTTGCCTCTTTTTTTCTTTTTTCCCCTTTCTTTCTTTACTAGTAATGCTTTATTTTATTTATAAGATTCGGATCATCGGTTCCCCTACTACCTACACCTTTATCATCAGTTTAAATTTCTTAGATTTTGTTGCACCCAAACGCAGCCCGCAACTTCATGACCAGTTCAATGGAAATCTCAACGTAACCCGGAAAGGATTACTTCATTATCAATTGAATCTCAATATTTTTGTTTTTATGTAATCTTCATGAAATATAATCAATATTAGAGAATATTATCTATTCACCCATTGAATGTTAATATAGTTTAAAAAAATGTTAATATAGTAAAAAAAAAAATTATGTCTTATTTGTGTGTGGTTTTGAATGTCATCATTAGATATTTTAAATTATCTAAAGAATTAAAATAATTCTCGTTATTTCCAAAAAGATAATTTTAGTGTCAATCAATACCTTCACTTTACTAATAAACTTTAAAGATAAATTACCTTCTAGCACATATTGGAGCTTATTTTGGCCTTTTCCAGATGTACAAATTAAATGAATTGTTTTAATTGATAGTTTGTTATTAATAATTGATGGATGAAGAGATGACATTATCTAATATTGATTATATTTAAGATAAATTGATAAAATCGAAACTTAATTTATAATAAGGTGATATGTTAGGAGTTAATTGAATTTTTTTCTAGTTTTTTTAAATTCAATCCATGAAAATTATCTTGACATCCATCGTTAACACTCGTTCTCCACAAATGTATTAATTAAAAGTTAGTACTTTAGGCATATTGTTTGTTTTTAATTTTTCTAATTTATTTTACTAATTCTTATCATTTTTTTAGTTTTGAACTAAGTAGAAGCATATGCATATCATCAATCATGTAAATACTTTTATCTAATAGGTAAGTTATTTTTTTAAAAAATAACTTATAGTTTGATGCCGAAATACTTTACATTCTTATTTTTTATAAATTATACTTTACACTCTATATATTTGATGATGAATTTTCAAACTAGTGAAGTGTAAAACGACTAAAATACCTTTATATACATATACACTGCAACTCCCAACTAAGCATAATCTTCATTATTCTCACCCATCTCTCTCTCTCTCTCTCTCTCTCTCTCTCTCTCTCTAAAGAAAGAGAAATATTAAAAACTAGCAAATTAATCAACAAAAGTCTCTTCAAAATAGCATATTTTCTTCTATGTTCTTGTTGATTAAGGGTTTCGTGGTTGTTTGAAGATGATTTAAAGCTTAAAATGTGGTACGTTAAAGCATAACCTAATTTTTAAGTTTTTTAAATAAAAATATAATTAATCCATAAGATATTTGAATTAACATTACTTGTATAGAGTCCCAAGCAAAACCCATAAAGGTTATTAGCTCTCCACGAATGTATTAATTAAAAGATTACACATATCATCAATCATGTAAATACTTTTATCTAATAGGTAAGTTACTTTTAAAAAAAAAAACTCGAAGTTTGATGCAAGAAATACTTTGCATTCTTATTTTTTTATAAATTATATTTTGTACCCTATATATTTGATGATGAATTTTCAAACTAGTGAAGTGCAAAACGACTAAAATATCTTTTTGTGTGTGTGTGTGTGTGTGTGTGTGTAATCAATCTTCGTTATTCTTACCCAACTCTCTCTCTCTCTAAAGAGAGAGAAATATTAAAAACTAGCAAATTAATCAATAAAGTCTCTTCAAAATACCATATTTTCTTCTATGTTCTTGTTGATTAAGGGTTTACGTGGTTCGTTTGAAGATGATTTAAAGCTTAAAACATGTTACATTAAAGCATAACCCTAATTTTTAAATTTTTTAAACAAAAATATATTTAATCCATAAAATAGTTGAATTAACATTACTTGTATAAATTCCTAAGAAAAACCCATAAAGGTTATTAGGTTTTTAAGGTTTTGTTATCTATTTACGAAATTCCAAAAAGAAAACTTCAATTTTTTAATGTTAATTTTTTTTTTTGTTCAAAACTATTTTTTTATTTTGTAATTGATTGTTTCGAGCAAAACCCACTAAAAAAAAAATTATGTTTTAAGGTTTTTTTAGTTGTTAATTTGAAATTCTTAAAAAAATCCTAATTTTTTAATGTTGATTTTTTTAGTTTGAAATTGTTCTTTTTTTTTCAAGAAACAAGGGCACTACCTTGTAGAATTTTATTAAATTGAACAAATTTTTCATGGGAGGACAATTTGGCTTAGCCCAAGTAATGGGAGGATAAGGAAGCCTAACCCACGATAAATACATGCATAATGTTATTTTCTATAGCTATAAATTCCAAAAGCATCATGTTTACAAATATTCTTAATGTCTATAGGTAGATCCATGTAGTGCATATATGTAATATTGGATCAATGATCATGAGAAAAATTAGCCAAACTATCTGCAATTGAATTTTCTTGTCACCATACAAGCTCAAAGCTATGATTTGTTAACATTTGTCGACAATGACGTAGTTGTTATGCATATCACCAAAGCAGTTGTGTATTATGCTTGATTGCATTAACTACTATCATAGCATCTTATTTCATTTGAACCTTTAATAAGGTTAAGTCATTGCATAATTGTAGTCCATTCCAAAGTGCATAAATTTCCCCTTTCATGCTCATGCTAGAACCATCAAAAAATTAAAAACAAAAATGCTATCATCTACCCTCGAGTATCCTTTATAACTGAAGAAATTGAGAATCAATTGCAAGGCTATCACACTTGTTTGTATTGTAGTAAACCCTTTAAATAGAGTTTCATAGATAAAGTTACGATGCATTACGGTAAGTTACTAAAAGATAGAGTTACGATTATGAGTGTTACTGAAAGATAGAGTTATAGTTATAAAGTCTAACTCTTATCTAACTCATACCAAGATATATACACTAACAAAAACTTATCCTTATCATCCTTCCTTAAGTCGAGTCTGTAGGAAGAATAGTTAGCTATTTAGTGAAAGAATTTACGTTTGGAGAAAAATTTGGTCATGACATTAGCTAATTGATACTTAGTAGAAATGTATTGCACAAGCAATTCATGCTTGTTTACTTTATCTCGAACAAAGTGAAAATCAATTTCTAAGTGTTTAGAATGAGCATGAAACACTCGAATTAGCCATGAGATAGGTTGCTAAAAGATTATCACACCATAGGATTAGTAGTCTTTGGAGAGGAAACCCATTCTCACACAAAGGGATTGAAGTCGGGTGACTTCTAATGCTATTATTGCTAAGGCTCGATATTCAACATTAGTGGATGAACGGGCCACGGTCTTTTGTTTACATGATGTCTAGGAAATAAGGTTATTACCAAAAAAAAAAAAAATAGCAAAACCAATGGTACTCTTTCTATCAATTAGGTTACCTCTCCAATCAACATTCGTGTATATTGATATATGAAGAGAAGATGATGGGGCTAAGGAACAGTTCGTAAGTTGGAGTTCCTCCGAGATATCTTAAAATTTGTTTAATAGAGCATTAATGCTTAGTTGTAGGAGCATGCGTAAACTAAGTAGCATGATTGATGGTAAAGGAAACATTTGGCCTTATTAAAGTAAGATACTAAAGCTCACCAATAATATTTCTAAATAGGGTTGGATTGTCAAAAATAGTGGTATCCTAAATGGATGAACAAGAACTACTAGGTGTGGCCATAGTGGCGACATTATGCATAAGTGCTCATTTCAAAAGATCACGAATATATCTAGATTGGCATATATGTAGTCCTCCTTGCTTCTAGTTACCTCTATGCCAAGAAAATAATTGACACATCCAAAGGCTAGGAAATTAGTTTTAAAAACCAATGATAATCTTCTTGATAAGGCCTTGATTATTGCTTGGTAAGAAACAGATCATCACATAAATGAGACAAGTAAACATTATATGTGCCATGAAGATAGACCATGAAAGAGGTATCTATTTTGGAACCTATAAAACCCAACTGATAGAGTGTATCAATGAGGTTGTTAAACCATATACAAAGGACCCGTTTGAGGCCATAGAGAGACTATTTGAGGGCATAAACATGTTAGGGAAGGCTGAGTATGAATAAAATTAGGTGGTTGTTTCATGTACACTAAAGTATCTAATTGCCCATATAGGAAGGCATTTGAGATATCTAGTTGTTCAACATGCCAATTGTGGGGAATTGCCTAGGAGAGAATGAGGTGAATGGTGCTAGGCTTCACCATCGGACTAAAGGTATCGGTATAATCAAGGCTTGGTCATTAATGAAAACATTTAGCCACTAAACGAGGCTTTGTAATGATTAATAGAGCTGTTGGCTAGCTACTTGATAATGCAAACCCATTTACAACCAATTATGTTTAGAGCTTAAGGACAAAGAATAAGATCCCAAGTTTTATTGGTTAGAAGAGCATTAATTTCATCATGCATTGCTTACCTTCACACTAGATGAGTGTTTGCCATGGGATACAAAGTGGGTTTAGTAGTGAAAAGAGAGCTGAGAAAATTTTTAGGCTTATTGTGCCTTATTTTTATATA